TTTTAGTTTTTTTAATAAATTGATGGTCGAAGTTGCATAGTCTCTGATTTTTAAATTGATTTTTATATATATATATATATATATATATATATATATATATATATATATATATATATATATATATATATATATATATATATATATATAATATATATATATACTATATATATATATATATATATATATATATATATATATATATATATATATATATATATATATATATATATATATATATACATATATACATATATACATATGTACATATACTGTTAGGGCGATCAGTGGATAACATGATATTTTTGTAAAAGTTTGTAACTGATCTATTAAAAATCTTCAATAAAAACATACTAAATTTTCGGCTGCCAACTGCAGCCTTCTTCAGAGTATTTTGGCCGTGTTCGATTAGTTCAAGTCCTTTTATGCCTTATCCCGTTACACTCAATTGATTCTAACAATGGTAAATACGAAACCGGAAATTCTATGTGCTCATTGACTGCATTTTTGTCTAGTACAGAATGTAACGCTTCAAGAAACCTTCTTTTGTCATAGTTTTTAATGCCTTTTTCCAAAATATTTACGTCAGTTTTAGCGACTTCATGACCTGTCTGTTCAGCATCTGTTCTTTTTGTTCTTTTTGTCTGTTCTTTTTGTTCATGGCACACACACCGACAAGTATCTAGATTTTGGCTCGCATTGCCCTGTAAGAGACAAGATCGCAGTTGTAAAATCATTATTAGACCGAGCGAGAGTTATTCCATCAAACCAAGTTTTACAGAAGGAGGAAACGGATAGAGTAGCAGAAGTGTTAGAGTTAAATGGATACAAGAAAGCGTTTATTGATAATGTTAGAAATACAAACAAAACACAACAAAATTCTTCTGAATTTGAGATTCGTGGCTCGACGTGCATTCCGTATGTGAAAGGTGTGTCGGAAAAAGTCAAAAGCATCTTAACTCGAGCAGGCGTTCGCACAGCATTCAAGCCGATAGTCACGTTAGAGAATGTATTTAAAAAACCAAAAGAAAGACCACAGGAAATGCGAACAAAAGCTATTGTGTACAAATTCAAATGCGAGTCGAGCTCATTCACTTATGTCGGGGAGTCAAAAAGATGTTGGTGTTCCCGATGGCTTGAACACAAACCAGGCGTAAGAAAAAAGACTTTTTCAGCTATAAAAGAACATGCTGAACAGACAGGTCATGAAGTCGCTAAAACTGA